AATATTTTTTTATTTTTCAATTACAATTGACATACATATTATATTAGTTTTAAGTGCACAACATAGTGATTAGACATTTACATAACTTACAAGTAATCTGCCTGGTAAGTCTAGAAACATCTGACACCATCCATAGTTATTACAATATTATTGACTATATTCCCTATGCTATACTTTACATCCCCCTAACTGTTTTGTAACTACAAATTTGTACTTCTTTTTTTGTTTTTTAAGATTTTTATTGAGGAATTGGGGGAGGGGATCCGTGTTGTGGAATCAGGGAAGGAGAACAGACAAGTTGCTGTTCTTTTGTTCTTCAGTCTAGTTGTGGAAGGCGACGCTTCACTGGCCCATGTTGGTATTGTGATCATTGTGCTCTTCCTGAGTGAGGCAGTTGCTCGCTGACCATTGGACGGCCACTCACGGAAGCTCACGACAACTCATGCCAGCTGCCGGCCAGCCCCATTGCAGCCTACGCCATCACTGGGAACTCACGGCAGCCCAGCTCCAGGTCGAGCTGTTGTTCACCATCTTAGCTGTAGAGGGCACAGCATCACTGGCCCTCGTTTGGGCTCTGAACCAGGGCCCTGCTGCTCAGAGCTTGCATCCCAAGCCAACTCTTAACCAATGTACCACTCAGCCGGTCCCAATTTGTACTTCTTAATCCCTTCACCTTTTTCACCCCTCCTCCAACCCCCCTCCCATACACTTTTCTTTATTAATACTAGATTGGCTAGGATCTGTAGTATTTATTTTTATAAAATGGTATGCAATTAACATACAGTGAGGCATACTATTCTTTATTTATTTATTTTTTATTTTTTAAACATCTTATTGGGGAATCAGGGAAGGCAACCAACAAGTTGCTCTCCTTTTTGTTCTTCAGTCTATTTTGTGGAGGACATCACTTCACTGGCCCATGTTGGTATTGTGATCATTGCACTCTTCCCGAGTGAGGCAGATCGGTCACCAGCCATTGGACAGCCGCTCATGATGTCTCACGGCAGCTCACGCTAGCTGCCAACCACTCATGCTGGCTACTGGCCACTCACAGTAGCTTACAGTAGCCCATTGCAGCAGAGGCTGCAGCCTACGCTATCGCCAGCAACTCAGGCAGTCCAGCTCCAGGTTGAGCTGTTGTTCACCATCTTATCTATAGAGGGTGCAGTGTCACTGGCCCTCCTGTGGGATCTGAACCGGGGCCCTGATGCTCAGAGCTGGCGCTCCCAAACCAACGCTTAACCAATGCGCCGTTCAGCCAGCCTGAGGCATACTATTCTTAAGAGTACAACAGTACAATAAAGTTTTACAACTGTATATTTGACCCATATTCCTACCCACTCATAGAATATTTCCATCTCTCCATACATTTGCTTTATATCCCTTTCCAGTTAGTACTCCCCCCGCCATGTGGCAACCATTGTTGAAACCATTGTTCTGATCTGTCACCACAGAATATTGTAATATTGACTAAAAGTGATGAGTGGCTATTCTTGCCTTGCTCCTGATATTAGGGGATAGCATTCAGTATTTCACCATTAAATGTAATCCGATGCCCCTTATCAGACTGAGTAAGTTCTATTTCTGTTTGCTGAGTTTTTATCATGAATGGGTTATAATTTGTCAAATGCTCTAAATGCATCTATTGACATGATCGTATTGTTTTCTCCTTTGTTCCATTGGTTTCAGCTCTTTATTATTTCCTTCCTTTGTCTTCATTTAATTTGCTTCCTTTTTTTCTGGCTTCTTGATGCCGTGTCCTGTGCAGGAAGAGCAGTGGAGTATTAGAGAGGCGGTGCAAGGTTAAGAAAGGCAAGACTCAACTATATCTGGCTAAAGCGGGGCCAAGGGACTCTAGTCTCAAGGATTGAGCCCCGAATTGGGCCAACGCATACCTTTTATTGGTTATTAAGAAAGGAAGTGAACTTTGCCTTCTCCATTGTCTGTGGGTTTACGTGCCTCAAAGCTGTGGTCACCGAAAGTCCCCATTGTGCTTCCAGCACATACTGTGCCTTTACACACACACACCACCCTGGGGGATGGAGTCACTGCTCTCTGAAACAATCTAATAAGGGAGGATGACTGATATCATTCCATCAGGTCCCAGCATTCTGAGACACTCCCTTAAGGAAGCTTTATCGATATCATTCCATCCGGTCTCAGCATTCTGAAACACTTCCTTATGACCTCATTAGGTCAGGGTATTGTGCGGCACGGCAGACAGTTTGGCAGCTGCAACAGAGGTAGAAGCTTAGGTCATTAATTTTAATCCTTTCTAATGTTTGTCTGTATAGCTATACATTTTCGTTTAAGCCTTGCTTTAACTGCATTTTCACATGTAGTACATTTTCACATGTAGCATTTAACAATAAAAATTTAACAATGAAAATACCACGTATGTTGCAAATATTTGTTTTGAACTGAACAAGTAATGAAAATATAGCATGAAACTGATTTCTTCTTTGATTTGTGAAGTACATTGTTTAATTTTTAAATATGAGGTGATTTCTGTTATTGATCTCTAGATTAATTCCACTGTGATCAGAGAACATATTCTGTATGAATAGTCCTTCCTCATAAATTTATTGAGAAACGTTTTTATGACACAGCATATGGTCCATTTTGGTGAATGTATATTCTGCTCTTAGGCACAACGTCCAATAAATGTCAATTAAATTGTTTATGTTGCACATACTTTTTAAGTGGATTTTCTTGTCTGATTGTTTTATCAGCTACTGACAACAGTGTTAATTTTCCAAGTATGACTGGATTTGTGTGAGTGTGTGAGTGTGTGTGTGTGTGTGTGTGTGTGTATGTATTTGTTGCTGTTTTTAAATCAATTTTTGTTTTATGTATTTTTGAAGCTATATTATTGGGCTTAATGACCTATGAGATTTTGATGTCTTCCTGTTGAACAGACCCTGTTATCACTGAAATGTCGTTTTTTTCCTCTGGTCATACCTCTTACCTTGAAGTCTATTTTGCTTGATCTCAATATAGCCAAACAGCTTTCTTGTAGTCAGTGTACCACATTATGTGTCTTTTTCTTTATTTTTACTTTCAAATTATCTCTTAAAATGTTGGGGTTTCTTTATAATCCATTTTGGCAATCTTATTCTTTAATTTGACTGTTTAGCAAATAATTACTGACATTTAGTATGTAATTACTGACATGTTTGGGTTTATGCCTACCACATTGTTCTCTGTTTGTCTCATCTGGCCTTTGTACCTTTGTTTTTCCATTCTTCCTTCTTTTGGATTTAGTTGGTATTATTTTTTATTTCATTTCATCTCTTTTTATCTCCTTAACTTTATATCTTTATAATATTGTATAAACTTATGATTTGTTTGTTTGAAGGTTATCAATACAAATCTTTAACATAATCTACCTGGAATTAGTATTATGCTACTTAATGTACAATATAAGAATTTATATTGATATAATTGCAATTTTCCTTATTGTCATAGGTTTCATTTGTGCATATTATATAAACCCTATTATATATTGTTATTCTTGCTTTATACAGTGAACAGCATCTAGAAGGAATTTAAAAGTAATTTTGTGCAATATTTGTCCCTTATTAATCAGTCTTTTGGTTGCTTTTAATTCATTTCTGCTAATCCAGGCTTCCTTTGATCATTTCCATTCAGTCTGAAAAACATGCTGTACCCACAGAAGCTTTCAAATAAAGTCTGTCATTATTTTAAAGTTTTGGCTTCTTTTGGCTTTCTTCTGTCATTCTGGGCTGGATGAGGCTCTCACCTGTGTCTCAGTTCTCTCTGAAAGGCAGCTCATGAACTGTTCTATGAGAGCCTAGAGGATGTACAGGGAGCATCTTCATAAAATTAGAACTGATGGTTTTGTTCCTGTGTCTCTGGGTATGGTGCTTTAAATCTACACTGCACGTGATCTTTCACCTTTTCTTTTTTGGTTATTTTTTTGTTAAGTCTTTAATATGTGCTCAATAAAAAAGTTGCATTTTAAAAATGGGTATTTAGTTTTCATGTATATCTTTTCCCCAAAGACTGTCATTTAGAATGCCTTTACTAGCTATATAGATCATAACATTGAAGTTGCCGAGAGCCTGCTCAACAGCCATGGCCCCTGGATGTACAGGCCAGGAATCCACCGAATGGTCCCTGAGCAGGATTGATCAGCGCAAGGAAATGAGAAATGAAAGAATGGCATAGACACCAAAGTTGGGATTAGGAGGGTCACTGACTGCGGATGGCATTCAGGACCAATTTTATTAAAAGACATAGTACTTATACAGAGAGCAAGTTCCTCTTTTACCAGGAATAAATCTTATCTAAGCATAGGGGTTTTGTTAGGGGGGTCTTGGGGAAGGAGGAACCAATGTTCCTGACTTAAGAGTTTGGGGGTGAGATAATGTCTTGGTAATAGGTTACATGATCATACAGCATAAACTAATAATATATTTTAAGCAAAGTGAAACTTAAGGCAAATAACTGTCAGCAAGTCCAATGATGGAAAAGTCCCAAAAGTTCATCAGTCCATAGACAGTAACATCTGAGGGTCTGGTGGTTGTGGTTTAGGAGCTTCTGCTTTTCCAAGGCACAGGGGATGAGCTGGGCGTTGTTGGGTTACTGATTTTATCAGTTCCCTTTTTTGCTGTTCAGCTAACAAGCAGCTTTACAGTCTTTTTCTCAGCACACAGAACTTAGGGGTCTTTAGCCACCTGCCATTCTCCACCACAGTCAACCTAGGGTCTCAGTACTCTTAGATGGCTCCCAACAGAAGTATGTAATGAAATGCTAAAAAACAATGAAAGATGTCAAAATCAAGATTTTCTCTGCAGGTTTTTGACCTTCAACAGTAAACATATCTTAGGATGAGGTCTACATTATCACCATATCTGGGCTTTCTGTTCTCAGTTCAGATTACTTAACTCAGTATATATTTATTATATGCTAAGTTACCTATTTCTAATAGACATGCCATGCAAGATTTCAATGCTTTACAAATACCAGCATCCAAGTTACTTCTGTTATTATTATCTTTCTTGTACTAATAAGGTGTTAGCTTTCTTATTGAACATCACATATAAGTAATTTCTCCCTAGGGTCAGACTTCCATTACCCAGGTTACATTTGAGGCAGACTTTTACCATAATTGACACTATTTATTTATACAGATGGTGTATCTCAACTCAGATCATCATTTGTTAATTTTACTAGGTTAACTTTCGGAGTGTTAACTGTATTCTAGAGTTTTGAGGTTGCCTTACTGTCACTGTAGAGTATTAGCAACATAAATTTCCTGTAGATAAAATATTAACTTTAATGCTGGTTGATTTAAGAACTGGAGGAATTATTTTGAAAGACAGTAAAATTAAAA